AAGAAGAAACGATGTATGACTGTAGAGATTGTAACTTATCCCTCACATGCGAGCACTATTGCGCCTACGCTTGTTTAAAAAAAGGCTATACAGTAAAGGCACGATGGGCAACAATAATCGTTGAATTAATCGAATCAGGCGCATCCTCTGGCGCCCCGCCAGGGGTAATTTGGCGCCCCGGGCTAACCCGTGAGCACCATTTCAAACAGCAGGATGGGCCTTGGATAAAGGGGTTGCTAAAGTCGCTCACAAAATTGCAGGGTGCAATTTGGCGCCAATGGATATCCCCCCGAGCACTAAGCGCCTACGTTAGTTTTAAAGAGCACCCTACAATATTGATAATGCGGCACACGACATTCGAACTAGGGGCCGTACGCGGCGCCCCTGTGATAGTGTAAGTGGGTTCACTAGAGCGCCACTTTCTGTCCCTGAAACTTAGGCGGCGAGTGATTAACGGTGATATTACGGTGAGTGAATAACTTACACTCAAGGCTTCCATACAGTGCTGGGTGGTATTATAGGTAAACCCATGTCCTGATAAATATGATCCAAGCACAGGCATTGTTTACATTTAAATAACTCAGTTTTAGAAAACAAGGAAGTACATTGAAATAGGGAGTAACTAAATATTCTAATAGAATAGCGAGTTTTTATTGTTTATATTTATTATTGTATCGTTCAATACCGTGTGTTGCAGAACAATATTTTTATGAGTTTTGAAAATAAAATAATTATTGATACATTTGTGCCAGGAGCTGAGGAGCCGCAACTTGTAATCAAGGGAGACGAATGCGGCTCGCGAGCCGTGGGTTTCCGACCCCTGTCTTAGGTGGGTGTCGTAAAGCTGAAAAATAGAAAATTAAAAATTAGCTACTCGTACACTTAAAGCAGGGGTCTCCAAACTACGGCCCGCGGGCCGGATGCGGCCCGCGAAGTCCTCTCATCCGGCCCGCGTAGATCTTTTTGTCCACGGAAAAAACGTGTGTTGGTGATGATGAGGAACTTTGCGCAGAAAAATTAAAGACATGCCTGGAAGAAACTGGCCCCGAACTGAAATTTGATAGTTAATGCGGCCCTCGAACTGAAAAGTTTGGAGACCCCTGACTTAAAGCAACCCAATACAAGAAATGGGAAAAGATAAAATTATTTTATGGCAAATAACCTTACAACCCAACAAACAGTATCACATGAGTTTTCTTGGTATTTATAGTACAGCTGGTTGATACTATTGACTACTTATTGTTGGATTAGCAAATTACAATTACTAGGTGTTTCGATTAACATTTTGTAATTAATCACCTAAAGTTTAAAATAATTTCCTTGTAATTTAATTTTTTATAATTAATACTAACGTTTTTTTAATTTTTTTTAGTTTCTGTATGTATTAATTATTTTTTCTTTTCTTTTTATCTTTTATTTATATAATTACCTTCCATTACAAAAATAATTGTTTGTTATCTCCCCTGACAAAAAAGTTCTACGCGCGAGATATTTTGACAGAAACAGAAGACGAGAGCAAACCGCTGTAAACTGTGTTATACCTTGATGCACTCTCGGGACTCACACTAATAATCTGTGGGCATTTCACCCCCACACATTTGTTGTTTTTCACAGATTTCGTTTACATTTGTACAATAGTGAATTACAAAAATAGGTAAATAAGTAAATGAAAACATATTCGAAACTTATGTTTTGGGGGTGGTGGGGTCGTTGGAACAGTTAAAAGGGATGTCATATCTGAGGGTGATGTGGACAGAGAGGGGGGGCGGGGTGGGGTAGAGTGTCTGACGAGCCATGGAGAGAGTGTCTGCGTGTGTTTAAGGCAAGCCAAGCGTCAAAATCTGTGCTGTGTGATCTAACTGCTGATGTGTAACTATTTATAGTGTGTGTATGTTTGGGGGGGGGGGGTGACGAATAAATTGCTGTGTGAGCGATTTAGCGGGAGAGTGAAAGTTTGTTATGTTTAAGTCGGTGTTTATGTTTATTTGGATGTTTAGTACCGACAGGTTAGGGGTGGGTAGGCGTGTAGCTATCACGGGGTGTGGGAATACAGTGGAGTTTTAAAGGTAAAAAATTGGTTAACAGTGTTCTCATAAAAGAGTTATTTAAGTTAACAAAACAACTGTAAGTTATAATGTGGGGGTAATAAAATAAATAAAAAGGGAGTAGGGGTCATTGGGGTCATTTTGAAAGTTGTGAACCAAGGTAACGTACGTAAACGATATTAGTAAAATAGCGACAAATGTTGACTTTACAATATTTGTTTGTAAGCTGTGTAAATAAAGCAATACACCAGGGGTCGGCAACCTTTTGAAGCGGAAGAGCCAAAAGTTACAATTTTCAAAATTTCCCTCGTTTTAAAGAACCACCAAAATTTTTTTTATTTCACATATTTTATTTTTTTATTAAGATTATTAGTATTTGTTCAAGGAGCTGGAGAGCCGCATCTTGAAATCAAAGGAGCCGCATGCGGCTCGCGAGCCGCAGGTTGCCGACCCCTGCAATACACATATAAGCAACAAGATGCAGTTTAAAGATGCGGAGGTAAGTTAATTAAATAATCTTCTTGGTATAAATATAAAAGCTGGTTGGTACTAGTGACTACTAATTATTGGATTAACAACTAACAATTACTAGGAGTTGTAATTAATATTCCGTTATTAGTCACCAAACGTTTTAAACTGTTTTTTATAACTTAATTTTTTATAATTAATATTAACGTTTGTTTACTTGTTTTTATTCAGTATATATTAATATTTTTTTCTTCTCTTTTTATCGTTTAATTTTATAATTATTTCCCTTTAAAAATTTATTCTTTGTTTTTTCCCCTGACAATAAGTTCTACGCGCGAGATATTTTGACATAAACAGAAGACGACAGCAAACCGCTGTGAACTGTGTTACACCTTGGTGCACTCTCGGGACTAACACTAATATTCAATGTCATTGTAGGGTGGGGGGGAGGTGTGTGATGGAATCTAGTGAGGGGGGGGGGGGGTTGAATGTTTGGGTGATTTTGGTGGAGACTATTTTTGTATCGAGTTTAGATTTGGGAGATTTTTAGTGTGGGAGAATTTAGTGAGGGAGAATTTAGTGTGGAAAAAAATTTAGTGTGGGACAATTTAGTGAGGGAGAATTTAGTGTGGGAGAATTTTGCAGTCTAGCGTAAAATCGAGTAAAATTTCCCTTTTCGCACCTAACGGTCCAAGCGGCAAGTCAATTAGAGTTTTTCTCTTTACATACTTTCAACTTCATTTTTAGATTTAGTATTCGAAAAAATCAATCACACTAACTTAACAAAAGAATCAACTCAATTAGCACCAGACTCAAAGGTCTTTAACTCAAAAAGTCCCCCCCCCCTCCTTATACAATCGTTATTTGAGTGTGTGTGGGTATCAAGCAAATAAATATAGGCCTTTGTTTACAAGGGTTTGTTTTATTCTTTAGCAGGATAAACTAATGGGATATGAAATAAATGAAGACTATCAGTGTACACATTCAGCTTGTTACAATAGAATGAACACACTCGTAAAATGTTGTGTTTTTAACTAATATTTCTTATATTAATAACATTTTGGATCCCGCACAGTCTACTTGGTAAATTTAATCAACCACTATTCAATTAATAATATCCACCTTTGGCTTATAATGTTTAAGACAGCTTAGATACATCTTTATTTTATATTTTAAATAGACCTAATGGCCTAATAATATGATACAAATATAACGGAATACAAAAGCAGCGGAGAAAGGTAGTATCGATATCCCTAATACTTAGGCCTACGGGTCTATTTTGTTAGTCGGGTTTTACAGCTTGTAAACAACTGAAGAAGAAAGTAAAAACATTTGTGAAATCACATTAAATATGTTCACACTAAATTCAAATTAAGTTTGAATGTTTTTCTATATTAGTTGATCTAAGTGAGTTCCGTTACGTGACGTCAGACAAATCAACCGCGAGATTATCACGTGATTCTGTGCACGCGAGACTCATGTGTAAAACGTCATCAAATTGTGTGACACGTCATCACTCAGGTGACCTAGGACACCACGCGACAAAAATCTGGTCAAAAATTAGTTGACTTTGGATGAAGAGCTCTACCAACGACTGTCTTGACGGGAGTAAACTGTATGGTTCGCGACGAGAATTGTCTAATGTCGAGTAGCTAATTAATTAGCTAATTTAGACTTCGTCAGACATCTCGACTAACTCAGTGTTCCGGTTAGCTCCGTGATTCGATTCACTAAGTGTTCCGGCTAACAGGTCTGGCTAAGTGTTCCGACTACCGGGTCCGGCTATCTTGCCACGTGTCAAACAGATCCGGTTACCGACCTTGTTATCACCGCGCTGATTGTGTTTCTCACCCGGCTGGTCAATGATTGATGCACGTGCTACTGGGGTGTACTCACGCCGCGCTAATCCGTGTACCCGTGCGATACCCTCTAGAGAGCGTTTGGTAATTTCTTTTTGCGTTAAGACCTGCTGAAGAATTAGGGAGAGGCAGGGGTGGGTGAAGTGGGGGTGAAATGCCCACAGATTATTAGTGTTAGTCCCGAGAGTGCACCAAGGTGTAACACAGCTCACAACGGTTTGATGTCGTCTTCTGTTTCTGTCAAAATATCTCGCGCGTAGAACTTTTTTGTAAGGGGAAATAACAATTGATTTTATAAAGGGAAGTAATTAGTTAATTAAACGATAAAAAGATAAGAAAAAATAATTAATACATATTGAAACAAAATCAAGTAAACAAAAAGTTAGTATTAATTATAACAAATTTAACTACAAGGAAAATATTTAAAACTTTTGGTGATTAATAATAATATGTTATTCACAACTCCAAGTTATTGTTAGTTGCTAATCCAATAATAAGTAGTCGATAGTATCAAGCAGCTGTAATATTTATACCAAGAAAATTGATTAAATAATTCTTACTACAGTGTGCGTTATCGCGAATTTATATTAATTTTTATATTATATGACATTATAATTTAGCACCAAGATGGCTGCTAGAGAAAATAGTAAATGAACTTTGTTGCATCTGATGAAAACATCGCTAGTCTTTATTTATTACTGAAAAGTTTTAATACATTTATTTAAAAACAGATGTGATGACAGTTGTATTTCAAAGTTCTAATATAAACAAAATAATTCCATAATGGATAAATCCAACACTTTTACCTGTAATGATGGTAATAAATCTAAAAACAAATTGAATTCAGATGCCAAGTCTCTTCTTCACAATGTCATACGTCATACAGATAGTCATAACAGGCACATGGAAGAGGCTGAGATGTGGCAACTCCATTTGAAAATAAAGGGAAAAATCAATCTACTATGTAAAAATCATGAGCGAAAAAAAGATACTCAAGAATTTAAAGATGTCAAGATAGAAAATTCATTTTTATTTGATGACAGACAGGATGACTTAGGGTGGAAGAAGAGGAAGTCAAAAAAAGCCCACATGGATGACTCAGAAGATAGAAATGTTGGAGAGGCTTCTAACAGTACTTACTGGATGAGACAGTTATATAAATTTGAAGAGAATGATCCTGACAGATGGGGACACAGAGGTTATAAAGAGCTGTACCCTGGAGATTGTGAAAGTGATGGTGATCAGAAGAAAACAAAGAAAAAAAAGAAAAAGCAGAAAAAGAAAAAAAAAAGATAAGGATTGTAACTGTCCAGTTTGTAAAAAGAAGAAGAAAAAGAAAGCTACAAAAACTATTAGTAGGAAAGAGGATAAAAAGCTTAAAAATGAAAGAAAAAGAAAGAGACGTGATTCATTATCAAGCTTTGAAGCTGATATGAGAAAGTTAGAAGAAAAGAATTCAATAACAAAAAAAGAGAAAGTACTCTCAGGAAGATATAGCTGGAGATGAACATTTAGCTCATAAGCCACGTCACAGAAAAATGCTCAGAAGAAAGACATCATTTTAGTTTTTGTGTGGAAGTCAATGGAAGTATTTTATTAGGTTTTTTAGAGGTTGTGGTCATTAAATAAAACAAAACAAAGTTAAATTGTCAAAAGAAATCACTGGTTTAAATTAAAGATAGGACGAAATGTTCAGTACATTTTGTAAATTTTTCATTTCTTTCTAAACTTTTCATCAAACTTAGAAATTAATGATTGGTGATAAACAAAACCTTCATACTTCATTGGTTCTATTCTCAGTGTTTTATGACGTAACTTGTATTAATAGATAAGTTGGGACTTCTTATTATCATCAACAATTTTACAGCAGTTCCAAAGGTTTACTTTATGTTCTAAATAAAATATATGTTGTATCATAATCGTTAAAAAAAAATAAAAAAAAAAAAAAAAAATTATAATTTAGCACGTAGACTTCTGATTTAGAAACCTAACACAGCATATCGCTTATGCAACAAAATGTTTTCTGTGTTATCGAGGTTTGCACCAGGTGGTGCAACACATATCCCGAGAATTTCTGAAATGTTTAGTTCTATCTCTAAAACACTGCTACCATCAGTGTCAGCCTCCACCATATGCAAGCCTGATTCCACCCCATCAGCTATCAACACCTCAGTCCCAGCACGCCATAAATGCTTTGAGCGTCACTTTCTGAACAGGTGGATGTACCGTGATTACAAGAGTTGACTTATGGTTACGGAGAACTTCCCAGTCAGACAGAGGTTAATTGCAATCAAGAGATATTCCGTCCTACCCAAAGAGATACAGGAAGAAGCATCTCAAGAACTTCATACTATGCCACGAGATGTGAACCCAATACGTGTAGTGAATCGCTGTATACTAACATCTCGGCCACGCTGGGTTATTTATAGGTACAGGTTGAGTAGGATTCAGTTGAGCACCTGGCTGATTACAACAAATTGAGAGGTTTTACACGCGCAAGATGGTAGAACATCACAACCTGGCTATCTCTGATTTTTGAAAATGTTATTACATTAATAATAAACTATTATTTTCATATTTAAAAAAAAAAATCTGTTACCCAGTACTTGTATTGGGTGGCTTCAAACGTACGAGTGGCTAATTTTTTTATTTTTTATTTTCAGCCATATGACACCAAACAACTTCGCGATTACTATCACGACACCCACCTAGGTCCTAGGAGGAATCTTATATTGTCTAAACTATATTGTCTTAACATGCGTATATTTACGTTAATACTAAAAAGTATAAAAATAATAAATACATAAAAACGTTTCTAATTACAAGCTTTTAAAATGCACTAAAAAGAAGAAAATAATACAATTTTTATTTAATATAATATAAATAATTTATTATAATACTTATTATTATAGCGGCCCCGCTTTTATTTATATTGATATAAATAGTAGTGCATTAATATATTAAAAAAAATTGTATTTAAAGTAACCGCAGATTTATTATATTTTTAAACATTATTTTATATTTAATAAAAATTGTGATATTTTCTTCTTTTTAAGGCATTTATAAAAGCCTGCGATTATAAACGTTTTTATGTATTTATTATTAGTATTATTTCTTAAAAAGTGTACTCTTACTTTTATAATTTATCGCATGTAAAAGCTGGTTAACATTTATGGTATTAGACATGCTTTTCCCCTACTATTTAGTCTTAGATTTAGGAATAAACAAAGCACCGTTATACAAATGACGCAATCCGTCACATTGTCATATAATCCTGAGGTCGATTAAACCACACCCAAAAGGACAACTCCTCCCCACCCCTCTATAATCCAAGCACCCCCACTCAACGTACCCACAGTAAACCCAATCACACGTAGATTTATTTTTACGAGCTGACCCGCGACGTAGTAAACGCCGCCATCTAGTTGTTTTATTTTCTGCTTATAAGCAATTCATAATTTGTGAATTTAACACTACCTCTCCCGCCCAGTGAAAGCTGTAGTTTACAGGCAATGAAAAGATCAATCAGAAATTGTTACCTCCCCTTCGTTTTGAATTGTTTTATACTAAATTAGCTGCCCCTAATAGCCGCCACTAACCCGGCTCTACGATTGTAAACATTCGGGGTGAACCACAGCTCACTTGACAGTTTGGGGATGGGGGTGGTGGCTAAGCTGCTGGGTGTTTTCTATGGTCTCCATGAAGAGAATTATATGTATAGATATGCACAAACACTCAAATAATTTCCTTTGCCTACACTACAACACCACATTTACATAATCATTTTCCCACACTAAATTCCCCCACACTAAATTCCCCCACACTAAATTCTCCCACACTAAATTCTCCCACACTAAATTCTCCCACACTAAAATCTCCCACACTAAATTATCCCTAACTAAATTGTCCCACAATAAATTCTCCAAAACTAAAAATCTCCCAAATCTAAACTCGATACAAAAATAGTCTCCACCAAAATCGCCCAAACATTCAATTCCCCCATACTAGATTCGATCACACACTTCCCCCACCCCCACCCCCCCCCACCCCACCCCACGTGAAACTAAACATTGACACAGAATATTAGTGTTAGTCCCGAGAATGCACCAAGTTGTAACAGTTCACAGCGGTTTCGGTCAAAATATCTCGCGCGTAGAACTTTTTGTCAGGGGAAATACAAGCAATATATTTTTTAATGGGAGGTAATTATAAAATTAAACGATAAAAAGAAAAGGAAAATTTATTAATATACATTGAAACAGAAACAAGTAAACAAACGTTAAAATTAATTATAAAAAATTAAATTACAAGAAAAATATCTAAAAAGATTGGTGAATAATAACAACATGTTAGTTACAACTCCTACTAATTGTTAAATGTTAACCCTATAATTAGTAAACACTAGTATCAAACAGCTATAATATTAATACCAAGAAGTTTAAATTAGCGATGTTGCCATACTCTTTTTAAACTACGTTTGTTTTTCTTATAATTACCCAGCCCTACCCGCCCCATCCCAATCACTGACACAAAATATCACGCAACATCGCTCCTGATGTCTAGCCTACTGTACCCAACCAAACCTACCCCCTTTCAACCCATGCCGCTATGACCCCGCCCACCCCACACATACAGTGTAACATTCGAACAGAATAACACAGTTGAATTTTTCTTGTAATGGTAGCATTGTATAAACAATTATGTCCGGCTCCTTTTCTTCATACAACAGTTGTATATATACGTATCACCTTTATTTATTCATTCTTTATTACTTAGTTTATTGTACAAGAAGGGATGAAATCCATGTAAACCAATTTTGTTTTTTGGAATAACCTCCCATATGTAGTACACCTTGACTCACTTTTAATAGCAACATGTTCCAAACCAGCCTCTGTCCAATTGTTGAACCAAAATGCTTTAAACCCAATATATTTTATATACTTATTAACCAAATTAGCAATTTATTTACTATTCCCTGTAGGCCTACATTAATGTAACCACCTTGTAAATACCCACCAAAAGGGTGGGGGATGTTACTATATTTATTTTAAAATTGAAAATAAAAGTATTAAATATATATATATATATATATATATATATATATATATATGCGTATTTACTGAATTCTCACTTAATATGCTAGCGCAGGGTCGGCAACTTGCGGATTGCGAGCCGCATGCGGCCTTTGATGTCATGGTGCGGCTCACCTGTTCAATGCACAATGATTAATAATTGTATAGTTTCATTTTCAAAACTCATTAAAATATTATACTGTAAAGAAAAACAACTTTAATAGGATTAAAAAAACTCATCAAAGAACAATGAGAATAGGTGAGGTAGAAAGTAAATGGACAGCTGACAGCCGCCTTGGCACAAGGCCCAACCCCACAGCCGCTGTAAGCAGCACCATGGCGACCATTCCTTGTTTGCCACTGCCCAAGGGCCGCCTTTTTTTATTGTCGTTACATGGGGATGTTATTTTATTCAGAATGCATTCCTCTACCTGTCAGTATGCATCAATTTGACCTAAGTGACGTAGTATGTTAGTTATTAGTTTCCTACGGTTGAGCTATAAGGTACTAGACTCTGGGTTCGCGTGGGGTGAAAGATAAGCCCTGTGAGAACCGAAAGACAGAAGCGACCGATACAGTAATCAAATCGATATCCAAACCAGTTAGTCGGAGTTTGCCGTGCTGAGGCCTGTCTGGCTATGAAAGATACCTACTGAACCAGTGGTGTCCGTAAAGAAAGAAAAAAAAATTATTGGCTTCTAAAGTTGATTGGGATAGTACTATAGTTAAATTATGTGATTTCTAATTTTATCATAGCAGATCTAGCTAAAACAGTTTTTGTGCGAAACATGTGTTTGTTCTTATATGAAATAATAAGTTCATATTTAGCGCTATTTATTTTAAAACAAAGTCAAATGTATTTACCAAATCGTTATCAAATACCAAAATATTGAAAAAAATAATGTTAGTGGCTCTTTAAAAACTGTGATAATTTGTAAATTGTAACTTTAGGCTCCTCCGTCTCTAAATGTTGCCGACACTTGTGCTAGGGTTATCGTAAGGTTGGGTATTAATCTATATGAAATTAATATTTAAAAAAAAAACCCATTAGAAAAGTGGTTAGGTAAGATAAAAACAAGCTTTAAATTTCAACCTAGAAGTTGTTTTTAAAGTTATTTATAATTTTTTATATTTCACAAAAATCCCGGTTTTCTTTATAAAAATATAAAATATTTTATAAAAATGTTTTCTACACAATTAACTAATATTAATTCTTGAATGCAATTCTGATCTTTGATA